GCATCACCATGGCTGTCTTCTGGTCCTCTTCTCATTCTACAGTCCTCTCTAGGTGATCTCTTCTGTTCTTGTGTTATGGTGACAACCTGCATGACCTAAATCTACATCTTCAGCCCAGACCTCTTCCCTGAGTTGAGTCACACCATGCAACTGCCTGAGGACATCTCCATGTGGAAATATCACAGACACCTTTCAGCTCACCATGTACAATTAAACTCATCATCTGCCCACATTTTTCCCTGTGTCAGAATAATTCCATTATTATCCACCCAATTCTTTAAGCCCAATATTTGATATGCATCCTTGACTTTTATACCCCCCCGATCTCTGTCCAGTCATAACATTCTCTAGAATCAAACGCCTAAACATCTCTTGAATCTTCTGGTTCTCTCATCCTAGCTGAATCAACCCTAAGCCCAAGTCAATGTTGTCTCTCACCTGAATGAGTGTAAAAGTCTCCTAACTGGTCCTCTGCTTCTGCTTTTGCCCCCTCTCCAATTTATTGCCCAAAGAGAAACAAAGATGACTTTTTAAAAATGTAGTCTGAGCACATTACTCCCCTGTTTGAAACCCTTCAATGGATTCCCTGTCACACATGGAGCAAAATTCCTTCTCCTTAAGATGACTTGGAAGGCCCTGCACGATGTGGACCACGCTTATCTTCATCTTTATTTCGTGCCCCTTTTGCCTTTGATTAACCTCACTCCAGTTCCAGTTTCCTAATGTCAGGGTTTTCAAAAATGTGTTTTCCTCTTTTTGAAGGTCCCCCACCAGTGTGACTACCACTGCCCCTTGTGCATCAAGTGTATAATGCCTTGTGCCATGTCTGTCCTCCTGGGAAGACTACAAGAGCAATCTCAGCCCTCTGCCTCAGTGCCTGGACAGTGCCTGGCAAATAGTGACTGTTCAATAAAGACATGAGTAAAGAGAAGGGGCATAGTCAGAGCTATGGAAGAGCCTTCTGATGTCGGATGGGAGGTTGTCCTGGACAGTCCAGGGACCATATTCAGAAAGCTGTTTCTGAATTGGATCAGCACTTGGCCTGAATTAGATAAACAGGAAAGAAAAGAAGATAATAATGAAAACTACGAATATCCAACCTAATATCCTGGAACTAAAATGAAAACTCATCACAGAGTATCTTTGCTTAAAAACATGAAATGGAATAGAGGTACCGCCCTACATCTGGACTGCTTACAAGTGATCAGTTACTCTACCAGCTCCCTATGATTCGACAGTCCCCCTGAGAAAGAGACCTCAAAACACAGCCTACATATCAGGACTTTAGAAACCTATTCAATCTATAACAACTACATACAGGTCTCTTTTCACTGCCTTAGAAAATGGTCCAGAGAAGTTTTCAAAAGGCTCTTTAACCTACCTCAAAAGGGAAACCTGTCCCTTTAGAACCACCATTATTTCCTATATCATATTTGATGTGAATAAAACTAAAGAGAAATGCATCTCGTAATGTGAAATAAACCCAACAGTATTGTTCAGTATTGCGAATGGATCATGTCCATTTTTAAAAGTTCATTTGTTACAGGAATATTTTTTGGTGGGTGTCTTTACAACCATGGGCACTGATCACTCTGTGAATGTATTACTATGTTATTTGAAGAAAAAGACATGCCATTGAATAAACTTTTGGTCAAATCCCAGCAAACTAAGAATTTGCTGATAAGCTGTTTTAAAATCATTTCAGGGCTTTGAGCTTCTATGGCTAAGTATATTTCTAAATATGCATATGTATTTCTAAATATCAGAGTAAATAATAGATCTTTATTCTTATTGATTGCCCTGGACCCAACCATATCACTAAAGAATGATATTTTTAAGCCAGGAAAAAAGACAACCAAAAATTTTTCAGACTTTCTGTGAGTTAGATTTGAAGGTTGTAATGATGTTGAGCAAACAGTTATGCAATGACCTTGGGTAAGTCACTTCTCTGCCTTAGTTGCCCCATCTTTCAAAAGAGAAAAGTAAACCAGGTGATCATTAAGGTCTCTTGCTCTTGGAAAAATATCTCACAGTCTAAAGAGAGAAGGAGACATTAAAAAACAAATAACTGTCATACAATGTGATGTGTACAACAATAAAACTGGGGTGGATGTGGGGACTAGATACTACCTCTCCCTGGAGGTCCTGGGAAAGAAAGTCTTCAAAGGGAAAAAAAAGGTTCTTTAGCTGAAGTCTTGAAAGACAAAAAGGAGTTGAATAGAACAACAAAGGTGGAAGAGACATGCCAGGCAAAAGAAAATTTGGGGAAAGACCTAGAGGCCTGAAAGATCAGGTGGTTCCATGAAACAGCAGGGGCTTTGTGGTAACTGGAGAGAAGCATGCCAGTGATTGGGCTGCCGGAAGTGAGCTTGGCAAGCTAGGCTGGAACCTGGAGAGGTGATTAATATTGGGTAGAAACTGTGGCGGGTAGAAACTGTGGCAGGCAGACTGGGCAGTGAGGAATTTTAAGGAAAGAAGAATTACAAAAAGTTTGTTTTACTCTAGAGTAATAACAGAGGATGCAAAGAAGGTAGGAGGGAGCAGACACAGGAAGACCAGCCAAGGCTATTGTTATTGTGAAGTTTTAAAATGATGAGTGGTATTGATAAGGGATAGGCATTTTTATTTTTTTCCCAAATAAATTTTATTACAAGTTTATACACACATATATACACAAAAGCCATGAGGATTCCAGCTTTGATATTAATTTCCAATAGGTTGTATTGAGAAAGGCAGATATTTATTTTGTTTATTGAAGTATAACCAGTTTACAGTGTGTCAGTTTCTGGTGTACAGCATAATGCTTCAGTCATACATACACGTACGTATATTTGTTTTCAGATTCTTTTTCATTATAGGTTACTACAAGATATTGAATATAGTTCTCTGTGCTATACAGAAGAAACTTGTTGTTTATCTATTTTATATATAGTAGGTAGTATCTGCAAATCTCAACTCCCAATTTATCCCTTCCCACCCCCTTTTCCCACTGGTAACCATAAGTTTGTTTTCTATGTTTATGAGTCTGTTTCTATTTTATAAGTAAGTTCATTTGTCTTTTTTTTTAAGATTCATATGGTATTCTTTTTCTTTCTGGCTTACTTCACTGACAGTGATGATCTCCAGGTCCATCCATGTTGCTGCAAATAGCATTATTTTATTCTTTTTTATGGCTGAGTAGTATTCCATTACTATATTCCATAGTATATATATATACTACATAGTATATATATATACTACAACTTCTTTATCGAGTCATCTGTCAATGGACATTTAGGTTGTTTCCATATCTTGGCTATTGTAAACAGTGCTGCTGTAAACATTGGGGTGCATATATCTTTTTGAATTAAAGTTCCCTTTGGATATATGCCCAGGAGTGGGATGGCTGGATTATATGGTAAGTCTAAATTTTTAATAGCCCTTTTTAAACACCAGTAACAACAACAGTGCAGTACTTGCATTATGCTTTATTTCCCCCATAATATCACCTTATATGGAAACTTAATGTGAGAAAAGAGACTGATTTCTGAGAAATGATATAAAGCAACTTACAGAATATGAGTTCAGTGACTCAGGGTGTTGAGGTAGAGACAACGTACTTCTCCTTGCCCTCTAATTTTACCTGTTTACACATTTCCAGGTACTCTACATACATGTTTTACAACCTGCTTCCTTCTACGATCTTCAGAAAAATCTCTCTCCCACTTTGAGAACAGTTAAGTGCTTTTGTATTAAGAACACCAGATGCTAATCCTAATGGAATCCTGGGCATCCTCGAAGCACTTGGAAGAATGAAGCAGGGGCATGGTTGGGGGTGTGACCTCAGAAAACCAGGAGATGACTCTGGTCCTCCCCAGTGTCATTCAGTACCCACAATAAAGAATGGATGAGCCAGCACCTTCTTGCACTGCTGAGTGGGCTTCCAAGGAACGAAATGTCTCCTCCAACACCAAACCCCAAACCAATGAGGGGAGCAGTGCCTCTGGGGAAAGGCATTTTTAACACCTACACATAAACCTATATTGTCAGGGCTGATAAGTGATCAGATGGGGTAGTTAAGGAGAGAGGGTAAAGCTGATGCTGACTTTCATAGGGAGAAAATACAACAAAAGTGCTAACACACTGCTAGTAGGAATGTAAAATGGCATAACTGCCATGAAAAACAGTCTGGCGTTTTCTCAAAAGACTAAATACAGTTACCATATGATCCAGCAGTTCTATGTCTAAGTATATACCTAAGAAAAAGAGAACATATGTCTATCAAATAGTTCTATGAGAATTCTGATAGCAACATTATTCCTAATAGCCAAAATATGGAAGTAGCCCAAATGCCTAAAAGCTGATGAACAAATAAATAAAATATGGTTCATCCATACAATGGAATCTTATTTGGCAGTAAAAGGAATGAAGTACTGATGGTACAGGATGGGTGAACCTTGACTCATTATGCTAAGTGAATGCAGCCAGGCACAAGGGACTATATATTGTATGGTCTTATTTAATAAGACATGTTTAGAATAGGCAGATCCACTGAGATGGTAAGTATATGGGTGGTTCATAGAGCCGGGAAGTTGAGGAGAAGTGGGGAGTGACAGCTAATGAATAGGGTTTCTCTTTAATGATGAAAATAGTCTAAAATTGATTGTGGTAATAGCTGCCCAACTCTGTGACTATACTGAAAACCACTGAATTGTCACTTTTAAGTGGATGAATTATATGGTATGTGAATTATATCTCAATATCACTGTTATCTAAAAAGTGCTAGGGGGACCCATTCCCAACTGTAAGCTCCTTGAGGATAATAATCATGCCTCAGAGGTAGTAGGAACTCAAAAATATTTACTGAAGAGTAATCACATGGCTAGATCAGAATCAAAGAAAAGACAACAGTGGTGCCAAGGATTGCAAAATCTTCTGGCCTTTGGTTGTGCACCTAGAATTAAGAGTGATTCAGAAAAATAACCAAATGATGGGCCTGTGATCTCTATTCCTCCGCTCAGGTGTTAACCAGCATCAGGACATCCATGGCTTCCCTCATCAAATTATACGTAGGAAATGTTTCCCCAGACGTGCTCTTCTGACTGAACCTGGTAACTAAACTCTGCTTCTCCTACAAGAATGGATGACTCTGGAGGACTGAACCAAGAGGTAAGAGAAAGTTGTGAAAGTTGGAATTGGGTTTTTTGTTTGTTTATTAATTGGTTGTTTGGTGATTGTGTCGGTTTGAATTGGTTTTTGGAGGCAATGAAAACCATAACGGAAGATTTTAACTTTATAAGAATGTAGCTTGTACTATACCTGAATAAAAAAAAATTTTTTTAATAAATCTACTTCTTGCTAAGTGTGGAAAATAAAGGCCACTATTCAGGAAGAAAAAAAGAATGTAGCTTGTCCTTTCAGATACTGCTTAAGGTATAACTTTATTAATCAGTCCAGACGTTTATTTAATTTCTTTGTGTGTTGTGCCTTGTTTTATCTTGCTTTCCTTGCTTTGTCTGGCCTGACCTGGCTTGGTGTTGTACGTGTTTGCCTTTGTTACCAGAAGTATTTACCAAGGTAGGCACTGGAATAGTGAGTCTAATATTTATGGGAAAACAAAATAAAACCAAATTTAGTTAATCCATAAATAACCTGTGTGTAAGAGGTGGGAGGAAAGACATATACTTCCAGACATTCAAGACATAATTTTTGAGAAAATACTGAAAAGCAAACAATTACTAATATAACTAAGAAGTAAATCTGCCCCCCTTTCACCCCACATCAGTTTTCATAACTCTTGGCAATCTCCTATTTCACTAGAAGAGCCATAAGTTTAGGCAAGCTCTGGGTAGTCTAAACAGGGAAGAACATTATTATAACCTGTAAACCTGGACCCCAAAATAGAAACAGGGGGAGATTAGGTGAAAATGAATCATTTTCATCACACTCAATGCCTTGACAGAATTATCCAGATATATTCTCGTTGCTGCCATTCAACACCACCTGTACTTTTTCCTTTAGTTCATCATCCATCTCTAGAGGAATGTGGCCCACAAGAAATCATTCTTTCCATTTGTCAACCATCTATGTAGAACTCATTAGAACCCACCACCCATTTTATCATTTAGATCTCCAAAAATTATCAACTCTACAATGAAACCCATTAAAGGCTGAGAAATTGACAAAATGTGATTATACAACATAACAAGCAGATCATACATGAGGCAAACCACATCCAACATGTTTACACACAGAATCCACATAGATTTCTTCTTTATAAGAGTAGGAATATACTTTACCATTTTCCAGGAGGGTGCAGAAATGTCAAAGTTTGAATATACGTATTCTAAATTCCAGGTCTCTTGCAAATATGTAATATTTAAGCCTGCAAGAAAAGTCAGCTTATTGCATTCCATCCTCAGGATCAGCTCCATCGTACCCTGTTCACTAAAATAGAGACACTGGGAATCTGTGCAGTGTAAAATAATGACATAATGCAAAATTTGTCTTTCATTAGGTGCCTTGCCAAGCTCTTTAAGGCTGTGTACTAAGTGTTGAGTAGAATAAAAAAATAATAATACTCACAAATGCTTATTAGTATTTACTTTATGTCAGGCACTGTCCTCAGTATACACTAGCTCATTTAACTCTTACAACAACCCTACATGGTAAATGCCATTATTACACCTGTTCCATACGAAAGCACTGAGTCTGAGAGACACTGAGTAACTTGTCAGACACATACAACTCGTAACAGCAGTCTGGCTCAAGAGTCCGTACTTCTTCCTGCCAGCTTTATTCAGATATAATTGACATTTAACATCATGTAAGTTTACTGTGTACTATGTATTGATTGGTTACACTTACATATTGTAAAGTGATTACCAGTAGGGTTAGTTGACATCTCCATCACATCACGCAATCCCAATTTCTTTTTTGTGCTGAGAACATTTAAGATCTACTTTTTTAGCAACTTTCAAGTGTATAATACAGTATTGTTAACTATAGTCTCCATGCTGTACATTAGATCCCTAGAACTTACTCATATTATAATGGGAACTTTATACCCTTTGACTGACATCTTCCTACTTCCTCTGCTCCCCAGCCCCTGGCAGCCACCATTGTTCTCTCTGCTTTGTGAGTTTGGCTCTCTCAGTGTCCACATACAGGGGGCCATACAATATTTGTCTCTCTGTCTGATTTGTTACACTTAGCATAACATAATGCCCTCAAGGTCTTCCGTGTTGTTACAAATATCAGGATTTTTTCTTTCTCATAGATGAATAATATTCCATCATATTCATATATATATGATGGTGTGTGTGTATATATATATATGCATATATATATAAATCTTCTTTATCCATTTATCCATAGATACACAGTCTGTAATTTTCATCATTACACAATACTATCTCAAAGTAGAGGGAGGTCTATACAAGTGTCTTAAGATCTGGACTCTTTTAGACTTAAGATACCTTAATTCTAATGCAACTCATTGCTACATAAAATAAACTTTGAGAATGTATGTTAGATGATAATAACAATAAAAAATATTTACCATTAAATCCTTAAAATGTAATAGGCATTCTGTTAAACATTTTACGTATATTACCTCTTTTAATTTTAACAATATCCTGTTAAGTGGGAAAAAATCATCACCTCTATTTTCTATATGAAGAAATGGGACGAAGAGTTGAATAATTTAACCTTTTTAATAATAATTTAATTTACAAATTTAAAATGTGAATATTTGGCTGAAAAAAATCTCGCTTAATACAAACCTATCAAATCAAGTTAAAATATTCCAAATATTTATAATTTCCCATCAATCAAACTGTATGTTTATCTGAAACTAGGGGAGAGTATGACCTATTATATAAAATGTTCATTGAGCAAATGCATCTACCAACCAGTTTTGCATGGAAAATCAAAGTTATTGATACATGCTCATTTCGTTAAGCCCCTCTCCACATCTATGATGGGAAAACAAGAATGAATAAATATTCAAGAAATATTTAATGACTTGTGTATCAGCATCTGCAGAAATTGGAGAAAGAAATGAAGTCTTCACATGTCATAAGATTAATAAGCACCACCAACTTGCTTTTGCATCCCCTCCTTTTCAAATCTCTTTCAGCGCTGGTGGTATAGTGGTGAGCATAGCTGCCTTCCAAATCTCTTTCAGTATTACATCTATAGTATTTTTCTGCTCTGTGTAAATGACTCTGTGTTTTATGAGTTTATAAAATTCTCACAATGGCAGCTTATTCATTAATACACCCTCTGCTGGCTTCCTTCCCTCACCTGTCTACCTTTCCTACTTCCCTATTGGTACTTTTTGGAATTACCTCCCAAATGAAATACTCTTGATATGCAAATGCTCATCTCAGGGGGAAATCTAGCCTAAAACATTTTAATATAGACCTTATTTTATTAAATTATCTTTGTTAATCTTATTTCACAGTCACCATTTTATCTCCAACATCCTGCCTGAAATGTAATGATCTCTATCTAGATGTTTTCTAAATAAATGAATAAAAGAATAGAGGAATAAGTTTCAAATCAAGTCTGTTTGTATCAGAATGTTCCTATATCATTAAGATCTGTTTTTGCCTCCACCAAAGTACTTAATGTACAGTTGAATCAGTTTGCTAGTGTTTTGTTGAGGATTTTACATCTGTGTTGATGAACGATATTGGCCTATAGTTTTATTTTATGTAGTATCTTTATCTGACTTTGATATCAGGATAATGCTGGCCTCATAGAAAGGGTCTGAAAGCATTGTGTCTCTTCAGTTTTTTGGAGGAGTTTAAGAAGACTTGGTGTTAATTCTTAAATGTTTGGTGTAATTTACCCATGAAGCTATCTAATCCTGGGCTTTACTTTGTGGGGAAATTTTTGATTACTGATTCAATCTCCTTACTAGTTATAGGTCTTTTAAGATTTTCTATTTTTTCATGATCAGTCTTGGTAGATTGTATATTTCTAGGAATTTATCTGTGTCTTCCAGGTTATCCAATTTTTTGGCATATAATTGTTCATCGTAATATTTTATGATCTTTGTATTTCCTCAGCATCAGTCTACTGTCTCCTTTATTTCTGATTTTCTTCTTTGAATCTTCTCTCATTTTCTTTAGTTTAGCTAGTGGTTTGTCAATTTTGTCTTTTTTAAAAACTCTCAGTTTTGTTGGTTTTTCTTTATTGTTTTTCTATTCTCTATGTCATTTTTTCTGCTCTAATATTTATTATTTCCTTCCTTCTGCTAAATTTGGACTTAGTTTGTTCTTCCTTTTCTGGTTGCTTGAGATTTAAAGTTAGGGTGTTTATTTCAGATCTTTTTTCTTTTTTAACGCAGGCATTTATTGTTATGAACTTTCCTCTTAGTGCTGCTTTTGCTGCATCCCATGAGTTTTGGTATGTTGTGTTTTTGTTTTCTTTTATCTTGATATATTTTCTACTTTCCCTGCTATTTCCTCTGTTACCCATTGCCTATTCAAGAATGTGTCAATTTCCACATGTTTGTAAATTTTTCAATTTTTCTTTTGTTACTGATGTCTACTTTTCATACCATTGTGGTCAGAAATGATACTTGGTATGAATAAAATCTATTAGAAAGATGTAGTACAGATGATCACCATGATCACCAATTCCATAAGTATTACCTCATAGCTTAAAAACAGAATCACTGAAAGCATTTCTTCTACAGCAGTATTCCCCAAGTATGGCTTATGAAATGAATGTAGGTGATTCAGAAACCAAATCATCTTTTAATGTCCATGCATCCATTTAATATGAATCAGAAAATTAAGCATTCTATTTATGGCAGTGATTTTAATTTTCTTTCTAAAAGAATTTTAAGTTCTAAAGTGATTTTATTAAAAATGTTAAGTACATATGAGTATAGCTGGTAAAAATATCTTGAAAGTGAAAATAATGCCCAGAAGTCTACTGATACTGAATTATCAGCTGCATCTGCTAGAGGAGTCACTGATGCCACAAGGTAAAAGATCAAACCTATAACTTAAGTCTCTATTCAGTGCCCACTAATTTAGTCGAATTTTAAAATAGATTGTACCCTAGCTGCTTATCTCATTAACTAAGAGAATGCTGGCTATTATTTATTTCATGAATAGTTAAGTTTCTATGTCTTTTATTAATCCATGACT